TCCGTATTTTGTCATGACAAAAACTGTTAGGCTGCTTTCACACTGAGGAGTGTTTGAAGCGTTTTTTGCATTAAAAAAAAAACGCCTGAAAAGATCAAGAAAACTGCTTCCCTATGTATATTATGTATGTTTTCACACTGAGGTGCGGTGTAAAAACTCCCTGCTTGCAGCATCTTTGAGGCATGTTTGGGGAGTTAAAAAAAAACTCCTCAAAGACGCCTCTTCCCATTGAAATGAATAGTAATCGCCTCAAAAATGCTCCAAAAACGTAGGAAGGTGTGGCTGTTTCAGCTGTCAGCGGGGTTCCCTACTGACAGCTGAATGTAAAAGAATTGTCGGCAATTAAAAAATAATTTTAAAAACCGGCATGGGGTCCCCCCCTCCATCCATCTGAAATCCACACCAAAAAAAATAGCATGGGGTCCCCCCCCAAAATCCATACCAGACCTTTATCAGAGCATATTAGACAATATGGAAACGGAGGGGGGTGTGACAAGCGAGCACACCACCCAAAGGAAAGGGGTTACTTAAAGATCCACGCGGAGTAATATAGGTTCAATAATTACAAAGAATACTTTATTTGATCACATAGATCATATGGAGGTTAAGCATAAGCACGGTGAACATATCAGACAACTAAAATCCCCTTTAGCAAAGCACCTGGACGTCCCCATTCATATCTGGGTAATTTTTGCACATAGGGAACTATATAAGGCAATAAAAAACTGTGTAGCTCTATGATCCTAGTTTCCATATACTTCAGGCTTGTTTTTTAGAATTCGCCTTGTATTCTTCATATGTATTCTTGATATAAGCCAGGATGAGTGGAATAACTTCCTGGTAAATGGAAACTGGAACACAAAAAGGTATAGTGATAGAGAGGTTTGACTAGCACCTTGAGTTTTTACATCATAAGCTGCCCTATGCAAAAGTAAATTAACAATTATCTTTACCTTCTCAGTAACTTGGCTATCATACCAGCAGAATTTCAAATGTAGAGACTTCCTGGGTAACCCCCCCTTTGAAATAAAGTCCACAGTAACAAGTGATTCATCAATGAAGATCAAGAAGACTCACGTCAACTTGAAATAAGATCAGGTCCTTCCTCTATTCGTTGGATTCTTGTAACTTTATCAGAGCATGCAACCCAGCAGGTGAGGAACTACAGTTTTTTTTTGGAGGGGGGGTGGACAAGCGAGCACCCTCACCTCTCTTGAATCATACCAGGCCACATGCCCTCAACATGGGGCTCCCCCCCCCCCCCCCCCAAAGCACCTTGTCCCTATGTTGGTGGGGACAAGAGCCTCTTCCCCACAACCCTGGGCTGTGGTGGGGGTCTGCGGGCGGAGGGTTTATCAGAATCTGGAAGCCCCATGTTTTGGGGTGGGGGAGCCCCCTCCACCCCTAAGCACAACCCCCCATGTTGAGGGCATGTGGCCTGGTATGGTTCAGATGGGGGGTGATCGCTCATCCCCCACCCCCCCCCTTGCTGATCTGCTGAGCTGCATGCTCAGATAAGGGTCTGGTATGGATTTTGGGGGGGAACCCACACCATTTTTTTTTCTTTTGCCATGGGGGTTCCCCTCAAAATCCATACCAGACCCAAAGGGCATGGTTTGGGTGGAGGGGGGGTCCCGCACTCCTATTTTTTTAAAATTATCTTTTAATTGCCGGCAATTCTTTATTTCACATTCAGCTGTCAGTGGGGAACCCCGCTGACAGCTGAAACATTAACGCATGGTTTTCACTACTAAAATACTGCATGACTTGATAAAATAACTCATGCGATAATTTAGTAGCCTTGTTTTAGTGAATTCAAACGTGCAGATATGCCAATTTGAGCTACAAAAGTAAGTCACATGTCCAGGATGTTCCGCCGCTTCAAAAACGCTAGTCATTTTTCAAGCGTTTTTGAGGTGAACCAGTGTGAAAGCAAACTTAAAGTGAACCTATGAGTGGCACTGTAAATTGGCAGCTGCTCTGTTCATTGAAATCTTCCATCCCGCTTCCTGCAGTTGTGGTCTTCCAGTGCTATGGGGGGCTAATATTGGCAGCTTCAGTTCTCACAGGCACTTGTAAAAAGTGCCGACTGTGCCCACCCTTTCTGTAGTGAGTATTTTCTCTGCCTCATATAAGAATAAAAATATACAAAGGGCCTATAGATCAATGCGTGGCGTGCTCAACTCATTTCATCTTGGGAGGTGTCCCAGAATTTTTCTCAGCCCCCTATGGCAATCCTGTCACTGGCAAGTTGTCACCATCACTTACAAGTTTGGGATGGCCTTACTTGTACAATAAGGCCTCTTTCACACACAGTGAACTCCATTCCGATGAGCAGGGGATCAGCTCCCAGATTCCCTTCTGATCAGCTCCCAGATTCCCTTCTGATCAGCTCCCAGATTCCCTTCTGATCAGCTCCCAGATTCCCTTCTGATCAGCTCCCAGATTCCCTTCTGATCAGCTCCCAGATTCCCTTCTGATCAGCTCCCAGATTCCCTTCTGTTCAGCTCCCAGATTCCCTTCTGTTCAGCTCCCAGATTCCCTTCTGTTCAGCTCCCAGATTCCCTTCTGTTCAGCTCCCAGATTCCCTGCTGATCAGCTCCCAGATTCCCTTCTGACCCGCTCACAGATTCCCTGCTGATCAGTTCCCAGATTCCCTTCTGATCAGTTCCCAGATTCCCTTCTGATCAGCTGCCAGATTCCCTGCTGACCCGCTGCCAGATTCCCTGCTGACCCGCTCCCAGATTCCCTGCTGACCCGCTCCCAGATTCCCTGCTGACCCGCTCACAGATTCCCTGCTGACCCGCTCACAGATTCCCTGCTGACCCGCTCACAGATTCCCTGCTGACCCGCTCACAGATTCCCTGCTGACCGCTCACAGATTCCCTGCTGACCCGCTCACAGATTCCCTGCTGACCCGCTCACAGATTCCCTGCTGACCCGCTCACAGATTCCCTGCTGACCCGCTCACAGATTCCCTGCTGACCCGCTCACAGATTCCCTGCTGACCCGCTCACAGATTCCCTGCTGACCCGCTCACAGATTCCCTGCTGATCAGCTGCCAGATTCCTGCTGATCAGCTGCCAGATTCCCTTCTGATCAGCTGCCAGATTTCCTTCTGATCAGCTGCCAGATTCCCTTCTGATCAGCTGCCAGATTCCCTTCTGATCAGCTGCCAGATTCCCTTCTGATCAGCTGCCAGATTCCCTTCTGATCAGCTGCCAGATTCCCCTTCTGATCAGCTGCCAGATTCCCTTCTGATCAGCTGCCAGATTCCCTTCTGATCAGCTGCCAGATTCCCTTCTGATCAGCTGCCAGATTCCCTTCTGATCAGGTCCCAGATTCCCTGCATCAGTCCCAGATTCTTGCTGATCAGCTGCCAGACACCTGCTGATCCGACAGATTCCCCGCTGATCCGCTCACAGATTCCCTGCTGATCCGCTCACAGATTTCCTGCTGATCCGCTCACAGATTTCCTGCTGATCCGCTCACAGATTTCCTGCTGATCCGCTCACAGATTTCCTGCTGATCCGCTCACAGATTTCCTGCTGATCAGAGCAGAGCAGGCAGATGACAGGTCTGTGACAACTCAATTTGCAGAGCGGACACTGACAGAGCCCGCTATGCTCTATGGGCAGCAGATGTAAACAGACTTCACTGTCTATTTACCCCGACTACCTCCGATCCAATCAACCTACATGGAAGAGAACGGATCCCTTTCCATTTGTTTTTAGCGAACCGGATTGCATCGGAGGTAGGCGGGTGTAAACGAACTTGTGTCCATAGGGATGAATGGACCGTCTGGTCAGCTTCGCCTGAAAAACTAACAGGCAAAATTTGATTGGAAGGGTCGTGTGAAAGGGGCCTAAGACACACCTACTGCATAAAGACACCCACAAGAGGTCCAACCTTTTTCTGTCTTCATTTCAGGTAACCGGGCAGGTCTTCTTTTTGCACCATGCTTTGAGGACACTAGAGAACGTGAAATATACCAAAGCTGGAGTTTAAGAAGGAGACACAAGAGTGCTATGGAACCTGCCTTGAAAAGTCAGTTAGAATGGGAATCGAGGAATAGGCACTACAGTGGAGAAAATCTTGCGGTGCTGTTGGTTGGCGGGAATGCCGGACAAACGGAATCTGGAAAAATGCTGGACAAATTGGGTGCTGATGCAAAAATACTTAGTGGGGCTTTCAAGAAGAGTATCCCACGCCCAAAGACTTTGGACATCAAAAGCTCTGTGAGCAAGGACACCACCGGGGTGACCAAGCAGTGGAGTGACGATGACTCTCCGGTTGGAGAAGAAGCGTACAATGACAAAGTAGACTCCCCGGTGATTTTTGACCTAGAAGATCTGGACAATGACACTGTTGAAAGCAAGCCAGTCAACACAAGTGACCCGAAGGCACAGCTGAGAGAGAGGAGCATGAGTACAAACTCATCTACATCCACATTTGTTGGCAAGCCTGTGGAAAAGACAGATGTAAAAGTTGGATTAGATCCTCTGTCAATGCTGGCAGCTGAAACTGGCCAGGAAGAGGAAACTGAAGAGGTGGTGGATAACAAAGTTCTTCTGACACCATCTGCTAAAAGGGACCTGGCAGAAGAAATAGAGATGTACATGAATATGAGCAGTCCGTTGACTAGCAGAGCCCCCAGCATGGACTTGCAGAGAAACGCTTCTGACCAGTACAAAACCTCTAAATCTATACCTCTCTGCCGGCGGTCCAGCCTCCCCTCAACACCCCCACAAGCACCTAGATTAGTAAAGTCAAAAACGTACCACGCAAAGCATGAGGAGCGACACCGAGGCCGGCTCTGGTCCTCTCCGGGATATGTTGGCAGCAGTCCACAGAGAGAACAACCTCCAGACTCGGCCCTAGACTTGATGTCTCCAACATCCTTTAACTTCGATGCACTCCTCACGCCTAAGCTGGATGTGTTGAAGACCAGTATGTTCTCCGCTGGAAAAGGTGTCGCTGAGAAAGCCACAAAGTGGTACTCAAAGATCACAAACTATGCTGGACCCATAAAAGTGAGTTTTGTCATCTGTAGGTTTTATTCTATTTCTAGTCTGGACTAACACTTAGTTTTTTTTTTTTAATGAGCTGTTACAGGTTACTTTTAGATTTTATCTCTTTATATAATTAATTTGGATAATTTATCGATAACCTATCGTTCCAAGTAAATTTAAAAATGGAATTCCAGGTATAGGTATTTTAGAACATTGAATATGCAGCGCTAGATGTTATATGAAACCATGATTAATTAATAATAAAACGAGATTGATATAGTCCCAAATAAAGAGTCCTCAAAGACAAAATTAGTATATGTCAAAAATGCTCCATAAAGTGATCAAGAAGTCCACCAGGTGGCAAAACTGGTCAGGTGAGAAAATAGCAAATTCCTTGTAGTAATGGTTTTATAATGTGCTTACCAGAACTACATACAAAATGCGCGTTGTATGTATATACTCTGTAGAAGACATCAGGGTCTGGTCACCGGTATGATGTCATCAGAACGCCTTAGCAGACTTTCAGAGATGATATTTAGTCACGCTCCCGGTCCAGCTCAGGACTCACCAATGGGTCCACCGTCGCTCAGACACTAGATGTCCATCCACCTTAAGGAGGCAAGCCGGTCGGTCTTCAGCTCTGTGTACTGGAATGGCTTGTTTCCTGGGGTTTTCTTTGTGGTTCTGATGTGCAAATTTTTAAGAATATCCGAAAAATCCTACCCAATTCCATCAATATCAATAAGGTGTACAAACCCCTGACTACCTAAGGCTTGCCTCCTTAAGGTGGATGGACATCTAGGGGTTTATTTACTAAAGCTGGAGAGTCCAAAATCAGACTCCCTTCTGCATAGAAACCAATCAGCTTCCAGGTTTCATTGCCAAAGCTTCATTGAACAAGCTGAGGTTAGAAGCTGATTGGTTTCTATGCAGAAGGGAGTCTGATTTTGGACTCTCCAGCTTTAGTAAATAAACCCCCTAGTGTCTGAGCGATGATGGACCCATTGGTGAGTCCTGAGCTGGACCGGGAGCGTGACTAAATATCATCTCTGAGAGTCTGCTAAGGCGTTCTGATGACATCATACCGGTGACCAGACCCTGATGTCTTCTACAGAGTATATACATACAACGCGCATTTTGTATGTAGTTCTGGTAAGCACATTATAAAACCATTACTACAAGGAATTTGCTATTTTCTCACCTGACCAGTTTTGCCACCTGGTGGACTTCTTGATCACTTTATGGAGCATTTCTGACATATACTAATTTTGTCTTTGAGGACTCTTTATTTGGGACTATATCAATCTCGTTTTATTATTAATTAATCATGGTTTCATATAACATCTAGCGCTGCATATTCAATGTTTTAAATCTGTTACTGAGGTGCTGAGGTATACCTTTTATGCTAGCAGCTTGTCTTTTTATTTTCACTTTTTCTACCTAACTAATTCGGTTGCGCTCATTCAATTTGTTTTATTTACATAGGTATTTTATACATAGTTACATTCCAACTCAATACAATACCCCTCGTGTATTTTATTGTATTGTTATTGTACTGTCTCATTGTAATATACAGCGCTGAGCAAACTGTTGGCGCTCTATAAATACTGTATAATAATAATAATACACAGCCGCAAAAAAAAATTACACAGCTACAAAAAAACCTGCAACACTAAATATATATTTTAACCCCTTCATGCCTAACGGTAAAACAAATCTAAATGCCTAAGAACAATTTTGCAATGTTGACATGTGTTAGTAAAACCGTCCATATCATCACAACTACTTTGTACATCCAGGTGAATTACACCTTTTTTTTTCAGGACAAATTGGACTTGCATTTGGTGGTAAATGGTAATGGATACCTCCTGTTTTTTTTGTTGTTTTTTTTTCTTTTTATCAAAGGAAAACTGGCCCAAAATAGTAAAAAAAAAAGTGTTTTTTTTTTTTTTTAAATTTAGCTGTGTGTTTCTTGTTACTACCATAACCTACCACCAAAGAACAACCAAAAATACATTTTACAGCTCTTGACGATCGCAGCGATACCATATATATATGTATGTTATTTGTACCCATAGTACAGCCCAGAAACAATAGTGTGCGTTTTGTTTTTTTTTTTACCTAAAACACACTGACACTGATACCAATTTGTTTTTGTTTTTTTAAATCCTGCCCTTTTGACCCTGACCTTTGACCCTGACTTTGACCCAAACACTTACCCTGGCACTGAACTAGATCAAACCTTCATCTAGGTATTTTTTCTTGTATTTTTTAATATTTATTTTATTTATCTCTTTTTTTTTTGTTTTTTTTACAAACATTTTTTTTCCCTCTATGCCAGGAGTTAGTGAGATACAATGTACAAAATCTCTCTCCTCCATTCATAGAGAGAAAAAAACAAGGGGGCCAGGCTGTACAGTGATTGATCACTGTGATAGCCAATCAGAGGCTACTACAGCAATCATGTGACCCAGAATCGGGAGTCCTGGGACCCAGGGCTCTCAGTGACACCCTGGTCTTTTTGCTGGGAGCGCACTGTGCGGCCCGCTCCCAGCAGAAAGACAGGTACGCAAATATGCGACCCCACGGAACAAAGCCCAGTTCTGTGAGGCCGCATATTTGTGTTACTTCGGCGTCGGGTTAACCACCTCCTGCCCGGGCGATTATAATAATTCAGCTGGATAGGACCACCATTATTCCAGGAGGACGTTGTATAATGTCCTCCCGCTCGTGCCCTAGGGGGCACACAGCGGCTCGATCTGTCATTCACTGTGTCCAGTGGAAGACTGATCATTGTACCAGGCTGGCCCCGGTACTATGTGGTCCCTGTGACCAATCACAGCAATCACATACAAGTTGTACACAGTGGCTTTCATTTATCGCTGTTCATTGTGTACTGCTATCACAATAGTACACAATGGCACATGAATGGATGCCATTCATAAAAATGTCTGCTTATAAAAGGAATAAGATCATCACCGCAATAAGCAATCATACCAAAAAAAAAATCCTGATCTCCTCCCCAGAGCAGTACAGTGTCACTATGGTGACACTGTAGTGCTCTGGTCACAGTATATGTAAAAGATGTAAAAAAAAAAATAAAAATTTTCAATTATTATAAAGTTTTGGGGGTTTTTTTGGGGGGGGAGGGGTTTGTTTTTTGTTAATTACGGTCACCAGTCAGTGCCCCTGATCACAGTCACACTAGTCATTATGATAACACTGTTCTGCACCGGTGACAGTATGTGAAAAAAATTGGTGGAAAAAAAAATGTTTTAATTAAATTCTTCATTTTCAAAAAAAATTGTGACAAAAAGTTACAACTTAACGACTCACCATGCCCCTTTCTAACTAACTTTGGGGTGTCTACTTTCTAAAAAGAGGTCATTTGGGGATTATTTATACTGTCCTGATGTTTTTGGGCCTAAAGAAATGAGACAAGCCATCAGTACATCAGGTGTGATCAATTTGCATATATATATTTATATATATACATATATATATATACATACATACATACATACATATACATACATATATTATTGCGTAAAGTAAGTATTGAACACGTCACCATTTTTCTCAGTAAATATATTTCTAAAGGTGCTATTGACATGAAATGAAATTATGTTCAGAAATTAAGTTGTGTAATAAAATGAATGACACCGGGAAAAAGTATTGAATACATGAAGAAAGGGAGCTGCCAAAAGGCATGGAAAGCCAAGATGCCAGCTGAAATCTATCAGTAATTAGAAATCCTGCCCCTTGTCAGTGCAAATAAATATCAACTGGTTCAGTCTCAACTGATGGTCTATAAAAAAGGTGTCTCATTACCAAGGTGTCACACAAGAAACATCTCATGATGGGTAAAAGCAAAGAGCTCTTTCAAGACCTTTGCAACCTTATTGTTGCAAAACACACTGATGGCATTGGTTACAGAAGGATTTCTAAACTTCTGAATGTTCCAGTGAGCATTGTTGGAGTCATAAATCGGAAGTGGAAAGAATATAATTTCATCATAAACCGGCCACGACCAGGTGCTCCTCACAAAATTTCTGACAGAGGAGTGAAACGAATTATCAGTAGAGTTGTCCAAGAGCCAAGGACCAGTTGTGGAGAGCTTCAGAAAGACCTGGAATTAACAGGTACAATTGTTTTAAAGAAAACAATAAGTAATGCACTCAACCACCATGGCCTGTATGCACGTCACCACGCAAGACTCCATTGCTGAAGAAGAAGCATGTTGAAGCGCGTTTGAAGTTTGCTGCACAACATTGAGGCAAGCCTGTGAAATCCTGGAAGAATATTGTCTGGTCAGATGAGACTAAAATTGAACTCTTTGGATGCCATAATACACACCATGTTTGGAGGTCACATGGCACTGCACACCATCCCAAAAACACCATCCCAACAGTGAAGCATGGCGGTGGGAACATCATGGAGTGGGGCTGTTTTTTCAGCATACGGTGCACTCAAACTTCATATCAGTGAAGGAAAGATGAGTGGAAAAATAGACCAAGACATTCTTGATAAAAATCTGCAGCCATCTACCAGGATGATGAAGATAAAATGAGGGGCAGACATTTCAGCAAGACAATCCCAAACACAAAGCCAAGGAAACTCTCAATTGGTTTCAAAGAAAGAAAATAAAGCCGCTAGAATGGCCCAGCCAATCACCTGACTTGAATCCAATAGAAAATCTATGGAAAGAACTAAAGATCAGAGTTCATAGAAGAGGCTCACAGAACCTTCAAGATTTGAAGACTGTGTGGAAGAATGGACCAAAATCACACCCGAGCAGTGCATGCCGCTAGTTTCTCCATACGGGAGGCATCTTGAAGCGGTTAGTACCAACAAGGGATTTTGTAGGAAGTATTAAAAAAAAATTCAGTTAGCGTGTTCAATACTTTTTCCCTGTGTCATTCCATTTTATTACATATAACTTAATTTATGAATGTATTTGTTTTGGTTTCTTTGTATGTACGGGTTGTTACCAACATGTGGTGAAAATGTCATGCCAATGG